AAAGACAAACGAGAGTTCAGTCTCCAGGTACTCTCGCAGGAACTCGTACCAGGCCTTTGCGCCAATTCTCTGGCCAGGGATGTTCTTCAAGACCTTATAGCATCCTGTAGCCGTGGTGATCTGCAAGGGTCGTTCCTGGGACACTTGCAGGAAAGCATCTTTGATGTCCAGCGCTCCAAGAACTGGTAGTCCTTGGCTTCCTTCAAGGCCTTGGCTCACCACCACGTTGTTCAGGAACAATGCCGGGAGCAATCTAAGAACATGTTGTCCTGAAGCAGGGCTGTAGACCTCATCACATCTATCGTTGGCATACTCCTGTGCCACCAGCCTTGCTCGACGAAGCCATCGCTTTCGTGTTCCACCATCAGCCTGCATGTAGTTCTTCACCCAGGGACGAACCTTGTTGTTAGCCGATCCAGGTGCACGTCGTCCACCGTGAGGGGCTCCAAGACGTTCATCCTCATCAATCTCTTCTCCTCCATGCACTTTGTTTGCCAAAAGATCCACCTCCAAGTCTGGCTCTGGGGGTGTCCTCGTCAGAGGATGGTCACTCCATAGCCCTTCAGGGATTGCGCCAGGTTCCAAATCCTCAAGGTCGTCTTCTCCAACACACACCTTCTCGACCCGTCTCTCGACCATGTCCTGGTGCTGCGATGAACTTGATCCTCCTGGTGGTCCATCCAGCCGAGCTCGCTTAGCCTCTGGTTCAGCCTTGACTGCCGTCTCTGGAGGTGGGAGCTTCTTCAGGATTCTCCCTTCAGGAGGTACCTCACTTTCTTCCTTCTCCCATGGTAACGGCTCAAAGAGCACAGGGATGTCTCCTCCTGCGCCCCTTTCCCCAGGTTGATCACCAAGAGCTGGGGGAGTCTGCGGTCCTTTGCTGCGCTCATCCAACTGCGGGGCAGGTGGTGCAGGACCTCCAGGTTCATCAGTCATCAGGTTCACGAGCTTCTTCAATTTCTCTTTGACTCTCCTCAAGTCCCTCTTTCGACATGGCGTAGCGCTCTACCTCCTCTGCCTCCTCATCTCTGTACCTGAAGATGATCTCGTCCCAAGGTGGCGCAGGCCCCAATTGGAGAGGTACTGCGCTTGTGGCTCGCTTGCTTGGAACAATGCGGCCACCAAACTTGATCTGGTACTCGAAGGTGTAGGTGGCAAAGTTCTGGTAGTAGGCACCAAAGTTCTTCCAGGGCCTGTCAACCCTCCTGACTTCATCGTGTGAGCATCACTTGGCCTCCATCGCCCGCAATCCATGAATCTTGGCCTTCCGTCTTGCCCAGAAACAATGTCATCCTCCACCGTGGATTTCCCTTGCCAGACTGAGGCTTGACACCGGGCATCCAAAGGGGGCCAAGGCACCAGTATAGGGTTTGCCATGCACCAACTCGTGGCTAGTCGTCCCTCTCGTGGCCTGGAACTTGTTCAACAGCCAACATGCATGCCGCGCAGCCCAGCTCCATAGGCCATGCATCAGGGTGCATGCTAGCCCACGAACTCGTTGAATGGCGTTTTCCGCCAAGGAGTTTCCAGCAGAGTCCTTGACTTTCGTTGTGTAAAGTCGAGTTCGAAGGCCCATCGCATGCCTGCTGTTCAGCAAAATCCTCAGCAACGAACGAATGGTGGGTTCGTTGTCTCCATATAGTCTGCAATCTCCACATGGCCGAGGGTTTGCGCAAAGTTCATGATCTCTCGGGCCATCAAGTTCAACTGTCCTTTCGACTGGAGTGGCACTGCTCCCAAGCTTCCAGTCTGGCTGCAGACCATAATGAGCCATAGCGCGGGCTTCAACTCTTTGATCCTTGGCTCACGTGGATCTTCTGGCTCTTCACGATCATAAAGATCAATCACTTCACCATCTTCTGGATCCTGACCTCTGTCTCGAGGAACTGGTGCTCTGTCAATCTCTCCAGCCTTCGTGTAGGCAAAGTCCAGCGAGATGATCGGGATTCCACCAGTGTGTGAGGCTCCAGTCCTTAGATGTCTATCAGGCCGTCCTCGGTGTTGCAAACAGGCCTCGCACCAAGGTTGGTATGGCACATGGGTCAAAGCATGTAGGTCTTGCACCTGCTTGGATGGTACTGGAATGATGCTCTGCATCTTGGGCTGTCGAGCCATCTGCAACTCGGCTGCTGCTACAGCTTCAGAGGCAGCCTTCAGCTCACGTTCCTTCAAGTGGCTCGCAATCCTCTGGAAACACTTCATGCGGCTCCCAGACTGGCTAATGCCAAAGAAGTGACATGCAGCACGTAGTTCTCGAAGTCTGCTGGTTGGGGTCAGCTGGATGTCATTCACAACGACATGGTCTGGCAGACCGGCCTCCAGCACTAGACGTCCTTCTTGTTCTCCAGCTCCTCCTCCGTCAGCACCTTCTGCAACTGCAGGGATAGCGTCAGCTGCAGCTTCTTCCATAGCATGTTGAGGCTCTTCAACTGGGATCTCATGTTCCCTCAAGGCCAAAGCATCGTCCACCTTCGGCTTCAAGTCCAAACCAGTGTCCACTTCAAAGCCCATCTCCTCAGTGCTCATATCTTCTGCAGTGAGGATCGTCAAAACCAGGGTTCTCTTCGACAGCGTCAATGATCTCCTCCTGGTTGTCTAACCCATGCAGATTTATCTCATAGAGCTGCCACTGGTCCTTCACCTTCACGATGGTGGTCCTCTTCCAATCTGCAGTGGAAGGAATCTCTCCCACGAACTGTGGGGTTTGAAGCCTCTTTGCCAAGTGCACACCATCCATTGCCGCTGCAGCTGCTGTTGGTGAACCAGCTGCTTCCCCCACTCCGGCCATGGCCACCGAACACAAATTCAAGGACCTCCTTGGGCTTTCTGATGTGGCCCACCCTCGGGCAAAGGGCCTATGGCACCCACTAGAAAGGAGCCTCTACCGGTCCCCTCAGGGGAACCGGCTTCGCAGGCTCCGCTACCATGCGAAGCTTTTCACGCTCGTGCCAAGTAGCGGTCTAGTCAAGACACTTCTCGATATGTGCGTGTCATCCTTCGATGAACTGCCATGAGCCAACTCTTGAGTACTTACCATTCACGCAAGCAGAATCGGATTTGAGGATCTAGGTGAGGTCATTAAATTTGGGCCACGGGAGCACCATGCTTACATGGTTTGAAGCCCGCCTTTCAGCTTCCAGAATGAAAAAGTGCATACAAATTGGGATGGTAACTCGCAACAAAGATGAGAAGACAGAAGACTGTTTGACACGTGAATGCATAATAGCCACCCTGTGAAAGGTTTGCCTACAAAACCTGATGAGTGCGACTTGAGAAAACAGCCGCAAAGTTGAACATGTAGGACAGTAGGTTGGTGGCAGATGTCACGGTTGGTGGCAGATGTCACGGCCAAGTGCATTGACAAACAAAAGGGTTTGCTCAGCCAAACCATTCTTAATCCCTTACATAAGCCCTGTAAATTGGACTGTTTAACCAGCCACCAGCTGCGATCATTCATCCCATAAAGGGCAGAGCCACAACGCGGATGTTCCGTTTAAAGAGCGCGCAGCAGCCATCTGATAGCAGGCACGCAGCTGCCTGGGAGTACGGGCGCAACCCAATGCGCAGACATTTCATCTATTGGGCGGTATTTCTCGAGCCGAAGAGTCAAAAGTTTTCTTTGTTGCAGTATGCAGGTTCAATATTTTAGACCGATCAACACTTTCAGCAGACAGTAAGTGCATTGCTTCGCGGATGAAGGGCAGCGCCCCAAAGGTGCAAACTGCCACACGCGGCCATGCGTGTTGCTTTCCTTCAGTATATTCTTGTGTTCTCCAACCTGTTTTTGCCCAGATTGCACCTTCGATGGTGCTGCGGGGCGAAAACTGAAACACATCCCATCGTTGGAACATGTACAGTACATCCCATACGTCCAAGACCTAACTTCGAAGCGTGGCGACGTGCAGCTGGTGCCAAGCAGATACATGCATGATTGCGATCGCAGTGTTTTGCTTGACATGACTCGACAAGCGTTCTATTGTTTTGTCCTTTCTATGTTCTATCAATGTGTATCCTTTGTGTAGCTCTGCGCTCTGGCTGTTGCGCGAATTTGCGGTCCTTCTACTTCTTTGGTCGGCGATCTCTTCAAGACTGAGGCTCAAATGACATTTGCAACCCTTCTGCTCTCGGTTGGATGCCAAGCTTTGAGCAGCTTTGACATTTCATCCAGTACTGACTCTTTGATTTTTGCATTTTCCCATAAAGCAGCAGCAGCAGCAGCAGCAACGACAAAAACGCCAATGGCAATAGGAATGACACGTCGCATTAGGTCACAGCAACGACAACCACACCAAGTAGGGCCTGTGGACACCAGCCTGGTCAAGTCGTGTGTTCCGTATTTTTTTGAACTGACGCAAGTATTGATGTAATCGTGTAGCGACAAAGTACTGGAGTCTTGAAAGTCTAGTCTTTTTTGTGTCAGGTCCCGGCCTCGAAACTGAAAGCGCTGGAAGGATCGGATGCAATTGATGCATGAGGGTCATACGACGGCGAGGGGTTCGGGATGTGAAGTCAATTGCGCGTCCCTGCTTAGGGTGGTGTCCTATGGCATGGGTGTGTGCGACCCAGCCACGTTCCCAACCCCTCATCCCCCATTGGTTTGCCCAACAATTGCTGTCCATTCAGCCCAACAATAGCCGGTGGTTGAGTCCATTCCCACTTCTTCACAGCCGGTTGTCATCCGCGCCGCCCCGACGGAGAATTAGCGTGAATTGGCCTTGCGCTCCAAAACGACCCTTCAAAATGTCTTCTAAAGTGACCCCCCAAAGTGTGTTCTAAAGTGAGCCTGTTGCCTCATACTACGAGGGTCGTACGCGTCCAGACGCTCTCCCGACACAACAGTTCAATTCCCCAAATGTTTGGTCAAGCTGGTGGGTTTTTGATTTCCTTTTGGACCCTTGTGAGTTTTGGATATCTTTAGCAGTTTGTCAGGATTCTGTTCAGGGTCAAATAAATACTTCAATTTCAATACGGTGTTTTTGCCAGCGATTTCAGTTCCAGGCATGAATGCCACCTGCCGTGCCGTCTTGTCCTATGCCAGCCGGCATATGGCCCGTGTCGAGTCGCTCCTGCAGAAGCGTCTTGGCCTGCGTCCGGATCGCTTTAAATTCGCTAGTGGTTTCACTTGCGCGGTTCATGTTTTTTGAGAACTTCTTCATAGAAGGCACGCAACAGGCATTCTTTCAAGAACAAACGGTTTGCAATTCCGAGAGTCAAGCATTGGATGAAACATCAACAGAAAAAGGCAACTTTTGCGGTCTGCGTTGATGAAAGTTGGCGCCCAAGGACCTACCTCTTCGACCTCATCTTGCAAGGCAGTAGCCAAGGTCTGGCCACCAAGGCGCGAGTGTAAAACAACGCACGACAAAGCACTCGCGCTCAAGAACAACAAACGCATACACGATTACATTAGCATACATAGACAAATAAAATTCATATTAACTTAATTATTGGATGGTAGGCCATAAGGAGGTCAACTTCAAGAGGTAGGTAGTAGACGCTAGTAATTGGTACTAGAGCCTGAACCCGGTGTCCTCCAAATAGCAAGTGGGTGTCCAAATTTCTACCCGTCCGGTAAGCTCCAAAGCACAAGCTGGCAGTTTTTTCCACTCGAATTTGCTGCAATTTGCAAACAATCAGCACTTGCACGCATCATGTGGCATCCCATTCAAAACCATAATGATAGCAAATAGCGCCAAGTTCAATTACCAGGCTCCATGCGCACATTGCAACCCAGCCAGCAGGTCAAAAGGTTGAATCTTCGCTTATGCTATTTTTCACCTTGATCGTCCATGTGCACATCGCCTCAACAAGCCGCGGCTCTAAGAATCACGAAGCTTCAAGGCAACCTTCAACGGACGCGACCGTTTTACTCGAACAACTCTCACCTCGTCCTAAAGCCCCTCCAGAAGCTTAAAGCTTCAAGAAGCACACACCACAAACTCAAACAGGTTGTGGCTGCCAGTAAACTGGCACACCGGCTGCTAGCTAGCTGGCAGTCAAATTGCCTACCAAGGTTAAGCGCACCCAGCTCAAAGCCCCGGCCCTTCTGCTTTGGTCTTTGTTGGAAACTGAGGTGTCCTTGCTGAACCAACACAATTTAACAGTAAAACCGTGACAAGTCCTTTACGCCAAACAGGTTTGGCAACACCTCATTACTCCAAGTGCAAAGCGGTTGGACCCTAGGTATACCAAGTCTTCGAAGTTTTCCTGGCCAAACAGATTTGGCTGGCTATATTTTGACGGGTTTTCTTGGCCAAATGGATTTGGCTGGTCAAATTGTGACGGGCTTTCCCGGCCAAATGGATTTGGCTGGTCAAATTGCGACGAAATCCATTTGGCTGAGTGGTTTTGCTCAGATAACCCATCGCAATCTGGAAGCTCGGCTGGCCCCAGAAAAGCGATTGGTTTTTTAAAAACCCATCACAATTCCATTGGCTTCGGAAAAACCCCATCACTTTTTGAAGTTGGGGATGAGCTGGAAAGTTTAACGGGCTTTCGTTTTCCTTACTCCATTTAACTGCGGCGGGCTTTTCAAAAAACCCATCACATTTTGGGGCTGGGGCCCCGGTGAAACGTGACGGATTTTCCCGGCCAGATCAATTTGGCTGGCAAAATTGGGACGGGTTTTCCGTCTCCAACTCATTCATTCCTGCCAGGCCCCATTGATCGAGCTTGGCCGGGCGCAAGGCGCTGAAGCTTCGGGCGCACATTGCACCTACAAGCTTCAGGTGTTTGCATCCGACTGCTCCAATTATAATCTTCCAATCCAAGATCGTTGAGCCTCCGCTCCTGAGCACCAATACAAGGTAAATGTTAAACCGAGAAAGTTTCACACGTCCAAGCTGGGCATATGAGCAATCAGCGTATAAGCGCAGTGGTTGGTGCTTCCAGCTGGCTCAGGCAAACCCTCGGGGCCGCACAGACCTACATCAACACATGACTCCGCAGAGGGTCGAAAAAGATCTGGCAAATAGTGTGAAGTACGAGTTGGACCTATTGAAGTTGCAACGTCCCATCAAAGTCAAGCCTTTCTTTTTGCAGCTCTGAAGCGAAAGCTCTATCAAAATGTGGCGCAAAACTTTTGAAATAGTGGTGCTTGGCTGTGTCGCCAGAAGCGGTGGATAATGTTCCTGGTTGCGAGGAAGGAGATGGTCTCTGCGGACTCTTCATACGTAACGTCTCCATCATCATCATCATATCTCCACGCTGGCATGGCTGCCCACTACGAAGAAATCTAAGTTCTTGAAGTTCCATGACTGTATATATAGGTCAGTCTTGCGTGTATCAGGCGCGTGTGGATGTTGCCTCATTCTTAGAGCTCTTTGCTCCCAAGCAGGACCAAAAAAAACTACATGGCTGTGTTACATGCTTTTAACGGAGCCAGCAAGAAACTTGACAACAAGGTTCTATTCCAAATCAAACGCCCACTTGCTATTTGGAAGACACCCGGCTCAAGCTAGATGAGCCTTACTACTGCTACTACTACTACTACTACTACTC